TAGTTATGGTAATGTTAGTTATGGTAATGGTTAGTTATGGTAATGGTTAGTTATGGTAATGGTTAGTTATGGTAATCATTAGTTACTCATGTGTTTAATTACAGGAAAGTCTTCAACTGCTGCCTGTCTTTCAACCTTAGAAAAAACAAAAACTTTTAATAAGTTCTGTGAGGATGAAATATTAAACTATCTGAAAAGTTGTTGATTACCTTTTTAGTTAAAGGAAAAAAACCAATAAGGAAGTCATAAAGATTGTCAAAACATTTTCACTCATTTAGAAACCAATATTTCATATTTATTCAATATATAATAATATTCAATATTTAAGATCTTAATTCAGTTAACAGCTGGAACAGTTAACAGATTGTATCAATGACCAGATTAACTCAACAACCAAACTGTTAACTTAATAACCTGATTGATAACTCAATGACCAGATCAATCATTAACCCACTGATTCCCAACCAGGGGTACCAACGTATACATGTACCCCAACGTGTACATGTATACATTGGGGTACATGTACCCCAACGTGTACACAATTTACATTTTACTGTTTTTTTTGCAAAAATATATTATTTGTTGGAACTAAGTTGGAAAAATAAATATGAAGGTCAATTAAAGTATAAAACGTGAGGTAAAGCTCCCTTTTTTAATTTAATTGGCACATTTTTAATTGTATTTATTTATCTAGCTGTCTGTATATGTTATGGTGATATTTATTTATTTAACAACAGACACAGAAATACGCTGATCCAGGAATGAATTTAATATATATAATATATGAAAATAATATAATATTTTTTTTCAATAAAATTCTCCTTTTTGAATTATATTGGTGCACTTTAAGTGTATTTTTTATTTCTTAGTCAATTTATATATTTCTGCTTTTATTTTTCATTATGTCAGTTTTGGTCCTCCGTACTGCTGAAGCCTGATAATCACCCATTCATTCAAATCAGGTGTGTTTGATCAGAGAGAAAAAAAATAAAACATGCAGGGCTGCTGCCCTCGAGGACCAGGATTGCCCACCCCTGATCTAAATGTTGTAATCACACTTTCACAAAAATGTACTTAAATTAATTTAGAAATATGTTTCACACATRGCTGGTGAAGATTCTCAGCCATCCAGGCCATGATGACTGATCAATCCAAACAAAGTTAAAAACAAAATGCTGATCACACGTTGTGGTGGCTAAGGCTGGAGCTAAATATAGAGACTTTATAAATAACTCCACTACAACCTCAGAAAGGCTAAAAATGCATTAAAGTAACAAACGTTTACCTACACGCTGCTCCAGATCAGCCTGCATTTTTTTCCTACACAAAAAATTCACTTCRATCTGTGTTGCTATATATATATTACCACATTCTCTCTGTAGCAAGGACGACCCGCTTTTTTTCTATGTGCAAACCCTTGAACGTCTCAAGTCAGATAAAGCAGACTGACCCCCAAATTAAGTGATTATTTCAATCCAAACAATGCCTTGGGGAAAGAATGGGTCGTTAATTTAAGATGCAGATGGGTGTTTGTTTTGTTTTATGTGAGCATGAACAGAATAAATGACTTTAAATAAAAACTTCAACATGCACTTTTTACGGAGCTTCATCCTGAAACTCCCGAACACATCACAGGTGACGGTGAGCATCAACAATGCATGAAAAAATCTTCAGGGTTTCAGGGTAGAATTTGRACAAATTGGATTCTTCATGGTCACTGATTGTGAATTTTGCACAAGGACTTCATGTTGATCGTATTGTTATGAACCTTGATACCTTTTCATACACACACARACACAAACACACTGACGCACAAATACCTCATTCCCCCGAGGAGTATCCTGAAGCAAGGAAGCAAACCCTGGTCCTCCTCCCAGACTGCTTCCTTGTATTGTTCCAGCCATCTCTTAAATGTCCACGAGCATGATGTTTCAGGGGGCAACTGAAAACAATGCAAACTTAGACATTTTTAAAAGGTGCAATAGAAAGATGAGGTCATTGAAAAACATGCAGTTCAAGACTGGATGTTAAAACCATTTCTTTTCTCCACACTCTGTGTTCTGTGACTGATGTCACAGCTAAGGTCCTATAACCACTGAAACGATCCCTTTAACCTTTGCCCACAGGTACAAAACCCATCATTTTCTTCGTGTGTGTGCTGTTTGCAGGTTGGAGTCTGAAATTGGAGCCCTTGAAAGTGAAGAGTCACAAATTTCAGCCAAAGAGCAGGTGCTTCGTGAGCGTCTGAAAGAGACGGAACGCTCCATCGAAGACCTGCAAAAGGTAACTCAAGCGCTTTTTGTGTTGTGATAAAATAAGAAGAACAACTTAAAGCAGTGTTTCCCAAAGTTGGGGTCGGGACCCAAAGTGGGGTCCCGAAACATCAAGTTGGGGTCCTGAAAAGATTTTAGGACTTAATTACATTTTTGCCTTAGTTGTTACAAAGGAGTGAGGTTAGTGTTTTTAAAATGGATAAATGTAGTATAAAAAATATTGTTACTATGCCCATGTTTAGTTGACCTGATACAAATGTTTATCATCCAAAAACAGTTGGGGGCACAGGTCTCTGCTACTGTTATTTTGTGGGTCAAAAGCTGAAAAGTTTTGGAACCACTGCACTTTGGTTCCCAAAGCTGGGCTTGGGACCCAGTTATGGGTTATAAAGCACCTTGGATAATCTCCTGAAATCAATTTAAAGAGTAATAAAATAATTGCTGATGTAATATTTTTCCTATAACTATTACAAAAACACAAAATAAGTAAAAGTAAGTATTTATATTTGTGTACAAGCTGTTTATATTGTCAAAAAGGCTGTTTTATGGTTATTAACAAAGTTCGTATCCTCAGACAACTAATATTTGGGGTCACAAGTTTTTGCCATGGAATCCCCCAGGGGTCAGTATTTGGTCCTAAGTTATTTATTTAGTACATTAATGATTTATGTAAGGTGTCAGTCTTTGAAGTGTGCCTTATTTGCTGATTATACAAACATATTTTTTCTCAAGTAATAACTTGCAATTATTAGAACATAGGATAAATACAAAGCTAAGGTGAATAAAAATTGTTTTTATAACAAATTCTTGCCTTTTAGGTACGGTAGCGCTAAACTGGAATTACAAGTTCATTTAGAGGGGCTTCAAAWTGAAAGGGTGACAGCAATTAATTTTCTCTGAGTAATAACTGATGAAAAAAGTAAGCTGGAAATCTCATATCAGACATGTYCAAGCCAAAGTGTCAAGGCGGATTGCAATATTACATAAAGCGAAACAAGTTCTGAGCTATAATCACTTCATATTATACAGTATACTGTTCCATAGTTCTGCACATTTAAATATTTGTGCAGTAATTTGGGGCAATAATTATAAAAGTTGTTATACAACCACTATTCGTTTTGCAAAKGAAAGCAATAAGGATAATTCATGGGGCTGGATATAAAGATCACACCAATTAATTATTTTTTGTCAAAAATTACTCAAATTTGCAGATAACAGCAGTAATAACATTTAAAGCAGTTTTTAAGGAGATGTATGAAAATATTTTCAAAAGATATAGGGATGCTGATTATTTTTAGTATTTTATTTTTTGTATTTTTTTGCAATATATAGGGTTGTTTGGGGCTGTGTATATGTGTGTACATGTAGATATTTGTGCATGTATGTGTGTAGGCATACATACAGTATGCAGATGTATATTTATGTTAATTTTCTTGTATGTGTTATATAATATAGCAGGTAAACTGATTGTTTTAGTCTTAATGAAAATTTAATTTAGAATAGGGAATTTATTTTTATTTTTTTAATAAGCTCTGGAGAAGGGGATGGATTACTGTAAATAAGTTTTTACTTTTTCCCTTTCCTTTTCAAATATGTTGATTTTTGTTATTTTTTCTTTTGTTTTGTTTTACATACAGTACATAATTGAAATAAAATAAACTAAAACTAAATGTTTCAACTCATAATTCTGCAACAACTCAAGTAGATTTTGTCTTTTCTCTCTTTCAGAGCCTGATGACCCAGGATGAAGGTAAATTTAATGTCCATACAAGTGCATGCATGTTCACTAGCTTACAGRCTTTAACATGTTGGAAGTCTGTCTTATATCTTTTTTCTTATTGATTTGTGGCAATAAACATAAAAACACTTGCTTTCAGAGATTGTTCTTATGCAACACGGTTTTAGACCCATTACAGACAATGTTACAAAATTCTAACATCCAACTTAATATGATGCTCCTGTCTGTCCTGACTGTAAAAGAAAATATTCTAGTCAAACTGCTAAGTTATGGAATAATAAAATAGTAAAAGTGCAAAACTTCAACTCTAGACTATCTTTGCATTGATCTGCATGCACATTTGTGTGTGTGTGTGCACCTGTGTGTGTGTATGTGTGTGTAGGGTGAATAATACTCTCGCTGAGGCAGTAGAGATGCAAGCCAGAGCTCGCTAGCTCTACCGACACACACACACAGTCGTGGTCATGGGGATCCCACAGACATGCATGCACAATGCACACCTGCACACTCACAGGGATGACACTACACACTCTCACACACACACACACACACACACACACACAGAACCAAGCTCAGCGAGACTATTGAAGCTCACACACACAAGGCCATGAGTCTGCAGCCTGCAGGCGCTGGCTTTATCCCCCCAACTATTCACAAACAAGCCCCGTAAGCCCCCCGATGCTTTGTTCCTGTCACCACGCACAAACACACACATACAGCAGAAACAAATACGCAACCATAGCTACACACATACTTGCTTGCATAAGCACTGTACCTCAGGGGTACCGAGTTAAACGCACAAACACACACAGACAAACACTGCTGGAGCATCCAGGGTCATATGGTGTGGTTAGTTTCCTGTTGGGAGGCTGGACAGAGTGTGGCTGTTTTGTTTTGTTTTTTTAATATTTTAGGGTGTGGCTTTTATCACTAAGTGTGTGTGTGTGTGTGTGTGTGTGTGTGTGTGTGTGTGTGTGTGTG